AGTATTTCTGTGTCAAATATACTCCTTCTGGTTTTGTACCGGAAGTTTAAGTTTCGGAGAGTTTTTTTCGAGCTTGGCTCTTCGTGACGTAATGAAGGGTGGAACTCCTTATATGGGCATTTCTCCCGGAAGAGCGCGCCCACGCACACACAACGACCAGAGCGAGAGCAAGAGCCAGTGTTGCCAGATTGGGCGGTTTTGAATTTGATTGTGCGGGTAAAAATTGGCTTGGGCGTGTGGACAAAATTTGGGCGGGTTTGAGATCAGTTTGGCGGTTTTGAAAAAATGTGCATTTTATAGGCTAATTATTTAACAAAACCCAAGTGTGCACATACGCCATTCAATTAGTCATCGTGATGTAACTAAACACGCCCACTCGTGTTTGTGTTGACGTTGGCGACGACTCACGAGCCTGCGCTTAGCCAATCACGAGTGATAGCAGCTGCAGCCAGCATTCAACGGGAAATATAAGGAATCAAGATGCCGAAGTGGGCAAAATATAAAAAAAGTTACAGAAAGGAGTGGGAGAGTGATTCGGACCTGAAGTCATGGATAACGCCATGTAAATTGGATGATAGCAAAGCTCACGGACCATGCCGAAACTAAGAAGCACAAGATGCGGTGCCTGCCCACAGTTAAGCCGTTTACAGTGAGTAAAGCTAACTTAAGTACTATTTGTGATGACCAGAAGCGACGTGAACTCCGCATAGCAACATACGTTGCTTGCCACACATCAGTTAATACCGTGAATGAATTATCGGACATACTAAAGGATGAGACCGGAGTGTTCCAGATGCACAGAACCAAATGTTCGGCTGTCATTAAGTCAGTTCTGGCGCCATATTTTAGAGATGAACTTCGACAGGACATTGGTAACTCTTCTTACTCCCTTTACTTGAACGAAAAACAACCGACATTTCTGTAAACAAGTTACTTTGCATATGCATAAAATATCGTTCAAAGAAACACAATCGGTTTGTGAGCACTTACTTGGGACTGGTCGAACTTTTGGATGCTGATGCTAATAGGATTGTGGATGCCATTATTGGCTTTTCTGCAAGCCAATGCGCTGGACATAGCAAATATGGTTGGCGTAGCAACAGATGGAGCAAGCGTCATGGTGGGGAGACAACATTCAGTGTATACGCTGCTCAAGCAGACACAGCCTAATTTACAGTTAATCAAATGTGTATTCCATTCTCTGGACATTGTAGCTCAAAAGGCAATGCAGCAGCTCCCTAGAAATATTGAATACATGATCAGGGAGACTTATAGCTGGTTTGCGCATTCATCTAAGCACCAAAATGACTACTGAACTCTTTATGAGACTGTTAACAACGGAGGTTGTCCTTTGAAAATGCTTTCTCCAAGTTCCACCCGCTGGTTAGTGACAGCAGATTGCATTGACAGAATTCTCGATCAAGAACATGCACTTGCTTTACATTTCAGTGTGGCAGCAAGCTCTGAACACTGCTAAGCAGCACGGCTTCTGAGTGAAATGTACAAGGACAAGACCAACAGACTTTACCTGCATTTTCTTCGTCCTTTACTGCTGGAAATAAAGGCTGTCAACAAATGATTTCAGTTAGAGACCGGTGATAGACTTGCAGTTTTCCAGGTCCTCAACCGGCTGTACATGTCAACACTGAGACGTATAATTAAGCCGAGCGTTTTCCGAATGAATAATGAACAACAACTCAGAGACTTAGATCTAAAATCCTCTAGTATATACCTCTCACCTAAAGATGCTGACCTGGGTACCACATTCAATCAGAAGTTGGAGGCAAGCACCCTGGTTCCGGAGAAAAAGCAGGTGGTCTTAACACGCTGTATAGACCTCTTAAAAGAACTCCTGACCTAGTATCAAATGCGTTTGCCTGCATCCATGGAGCTGCTGTGGAAGCTGGAACTCCTATGTCCTGCTTCTGTTCTGTCAAACAAGTCACCGTTTCGTGAGTTGCCGAAGGAGTTCTTTTCAGGCTCACCAGATTTACTTGAGACTCAGTGGAGAAATGTTGCCTCAGCAGGGTTCTCACCTCACTTAACTATAGATGCGTTTTGGTTGGAGGTAGAATCTTTTCAAGATGCGGGAGGAAACCACTGTTTTCAGGATTTAGCACTTGGTGCAATTAAAATCCTTACTTTCCCAAGTCTCACTGCTTAAAGATGACACCAGAAATAGAATGGGATTGCCACTCCTTTCAAGTTTAATGAATGTGCGCTCAGGGCTCGCACGGAATGGATGGACATCGGCTACATTCCATCCTCCCCAGCAGCTGTTGGGGAAGTTTGACTCATCCATGTACTAGACAGCTCAGCCAGACTGTATATAGTTCGGAAAAGTTGCATTCAGATGTTCAGCTGTGTTCTTCAGCATCCTGTGAAGTTACAACCAACAGCCTGTTCCTGTTCGGCATTTAAAGGTAGGCCTAAGATCTCTCGCTAAATCCTGTCTGTCTTTCTCCCTCTCACTCACGCACATTTATCAGGAGTGAAATATTAATAATAATAATAATTAAAATAATATCATTTAAATACACATTGTTAAATTTGTTATGAACGAATTGGGTATTATCTTACAATTTAAATGTATTCTGTAAAAGTGCATTGTGTGTGGGGGGGCATAGATGTGAATGGGTTATGTTGTCATTTTGCTATTGTTATTGCTGTTACTGCTTGTTTTTGTCGCTAGCTACAGTATAGTACATTAAGTGTGGCAGTTAAAATAACTAGGCTAAATATTGATCAAATTGAAACAAATATTAATCAAATATTTTGGGCGGTTTTGTGCACGTTTGGGCAGGTTTTGGACAGTTTTTGGGCTGGAAACCATCAACTCAATCTGGCAACGTTGGCAAGAGCGCGCCCATCAATGCGCTTCATTCGGCTGCATTAACGGGACTCGCTCGAGAAGAATGTCTCCAAAGAAAAGAATGTCTCCAATCCAAAGAAGTGTGTTTTTGGTTGTAAGGGAAAGATAACTTTGTTCAGCTTCCTAAAGAACCCAGCGTTATGTAAAAAGTGGATGCAGTTTGTTTTTCCGGGGCAGCAACGGAGTTTTGCAAGTGTGTTTGTTGACGAACGTTTTTATAAACAAGGCTCAGTTCGGCGTTGGATTTACACATCGTTTGATACTGAAAGATGGAGCGGTGCCAGCTATAAAAGATCCCGGTCATGATTCAGAACTGCAGACGGTAAGTGAAACGGCATCAAATGTCTGTGTTTTGTTGGCAATCGGGCAAGTGTTCGTCACTCTTTAGCTCCGCTCACGGCGCGCCTCCAGGAGCTCGGCTGCTTTCGGAGAGAATCGGAAAGCTGTATTTTTCTTTTATAAATATGATAAAACTAAAGAATCTTTGGAGCTATGAACGATGCTATACTTATAGGTACTCAAGATCAACATGAGATTGGGTGAAACTGTGTGTGTTATGTTCTCTTTTTAAGGGACAATATTTGTACCCTAAATTGCATTTTTAAACTTTATAAAGTCAACGTTTTTATAATCCTATTAAACATCATGTTCATAATAAATAAAGGAATAAATTAATCTAAGTAATTTAAATGAAATGAAATTATTTGTATCTTTACAGTTTTTACAATACAAGATCTGGATAATGAAGATGCCTTGCAGATCCAAGAAGACATCACTTACCATCACAATCCCATGGTGGGGATTGTCATTGAGGAAACAGAAGCACTTATACCCCTTTTGAGTGCTGGTTCAGAGCCAGAGCCTAGTTTCAAATCAGTTCTTTGTCTTTCGACACACAAAGCACCAGCTCCGAACCAGGAAAAGTGGTTCGTAAGCACCAAAACATTGCTGGGCTAGAGAACCGCTTGTGTCAGGGGCTGGGTTGCCGTGACCAACAAATACTTTTGACCGCCATATTTAAAATAACAGCTAAACACAAACACGTTGGATTCGCTGTGTTTGGATGCCGATGTAGGTTCTTAAAGCCATGAACATCAATAGCAACGCAACGTCCAGCATTGTTGATGGTGTTTAGGCTTGTTCGGGATGCAGTGGCGCCTCGGTATCGCGTGCCGATCGGTCCGCCCGGCGCCGATGCATCCCGAACAAGCCTAAACACCATCATCAATTGTGGATGTTGCGTTGCTATTGTGTAAGGCACGTTTTATTATGGATGCGCGCGCTTTATTTGACGTGTTTAGGACTGTTGAACAGAAACACCCACGATTGGAATAGCCAGGACAATTTTTAATATAACTCCGATTGGATTCATCTAAAAGAAGAAAGTCATATACACCTAGGATGCCTCGAGGGTGAGTAAAACACATGTTAATTTTCATTTTTGGGTGAACTAACCCTTTAAACTTGTCGCGGCATTCAGCGCAGAAACGGCTCTCTCATGCACGCTCCACGTGTTGTCATATTAAATACTGTTAGGGTTATGTTTACAGAAATGAACTGAAAGCGCGGAAGCTCGTTCATCAGATTTGAATTCTCCGCTGTAAGATAACCATTCTCATGAATAATACTGAGAAAAGCTCAGAAAACAGATGACGTAGACGCGTACTCTCCAGCCACGGCAGCCAATCACCACTGCAAATTAACGCATATACGTCACTTTTTGTGACATTGGTTCAACTTTTTTTCCCTTAGTAATACACATAATGAGTGCTATTGTTGTTGTTTTCACTGATGTGCAACCTGTTCATATATGTTAACATCTCAAAAAATGTGTTTTAGGATTTCATGACATTTTAACTAGTTGTTTAGAATAAAAATAGAGATTATACAGTAAACTATGTATATCCAAATTTTCAAGATATTGTTTAAAATTTAGCAGAGGGAACTATTAGTTCTAATGTGTGTGTGACCATAAAAAAATATGGTCAGTTAGGACCAGCAACTGTTTGGTTACCAACATTCTTCAAAATATCTTCTTTTGTGTTCAACAGAAGAAAGAAACTCAATATGTTTGGAACAAGCAGAGGATGAGTAAATGATAACAGAATTTTCATTTTTGGGTGCACTATCCTTTAACAAGTACATTCCTTTTAATTCTTTAATAATTTTACTGTCATGTTCATGCAATGCAGATATTTATACAGTAATCACAACAGATGTAGGATATGTAATACCCAACCCTAAGCAATGTTGTCACTCCTTTCTACTGAAATTTACTGAATTACATTTTTTTTATACCACTCGGTCAAATATTTCTATGAGGAGGCATATTGCTTCACAAATGTATTGAACAAAGTCATGTTTGTGTTAAAAGACACTGATGTGAGATGTTTAAGTACGTCTTGCATGTGATGCAAACTGGCAAAAATGCCAGAGGAAACGCTGAAAGTATGAGAAAAGTTTGTGTTTTCCTTCTTGGTTCAGGTGAAGTCCGTCGTGTTTGTATAGGTTTTGAATTACTTTTCCATTTTTGAGAAATGCCTTTTTAGTGTTCAGAAATAGAATGTTTCTTGTTTGTGAAGACCAGTGTTGAAGCAAGCTGTTGCATTGTTTGGTTGTAGTTTTGACTGTAGAGTCGTCTTTCGCTCGTGGTAAAATGGCGCTGATTGCGAAATACAGGATTTGTGAATTAACTTGTGAGATTCTTGATATGAGAGTTTTCATTCTCTGGACGACAGTCGATGCAGACGCTCCGCTTGTGATGTCGTTTGTTCCCATGTGGAGAATCACTATTCTGTAGTCGTGCAGTTTCTCAAAGTGTTTCACGTGTTGTTGAACGGATCTCACAAGAGTCGTGTCTGGATGAACCCAGCATTGTGCGTTTGGAAAGTAGTGCTCGATATCCCAACACGCCGAGTCTGTGAGGAAGCAGACCTGAAGACCTGGAGAAGACCACAAATACTAGTTTTTACTGTGTTTAAAATGAATTATGGGTGCATTGCATGTTCATTGACATTACATGTATTAGTTGTTTACCTTTTGGTACGATGAATGTTCTTTTGTTGATTGTAGTTCTTATTGAGCTTTTATCTAAAGAGACATGAAGGCATGTTAATATGTTAGTACACTAATATTTAGTTTGTAAACGGTTTCTGATGCTCTAAAGTATATTCAGTATTGTTATCGTAGCTTACATGCGCACTAACCATCCGTTTGTTCCTCAGTATCTTCTTTTTTCACTCTGAATGCTTCTTCAATCTTCACGTCCCCGCTCTCCACTTTTATTCTAGGATTCATTGGGAAACTCCTCTGTACTATAGGGCAAACATAAGACAAAATATATTGATACATGCTTTTAAAAATATAGATTTATGTTTTTAAATATATTTTAAAAAACCATGGTAAATTATTTGAAAAGAATTTTCTTTGGAAATAAAAATCTAACCTGTTTGTTCCTCAATATCTTCTTGTTTGACTCTGAAAGCTTCTTCAATCTTCATGTCTTCACTCTCCTCTTTAATAAATGCCATCTTTATAATAGTGTCACGTGGATCTCAGTTGCTTCACCAGGAGTTTTTCTGTGTTTTTTTCCTGTTAAAGATGAGAAAAATTAACATTATATAAAAATAAAGAAAGAATCCAAACGGTCAGTCAGAGCAGTATATGGTCAATAATGGCCTGATTGGCCAAAAACACTCAAAACAACGTTGCCTCTACAGATGCACAAATCACTTTTGCACCATATTTCACATAGATATGTGCTGCAAAAGCGAGTGAAAAACAGGTTTTAGACTCGTAGCAGCAGATTCACGCTGTTGTCGTTATGCACTTGTGTTTGTGCTAGAAAAGCATCCAAAATTTATATATATATATATATATATAAGAAAACATTCTACAAGTGTGCAACTCTCTGCAAAAATTCACACTGATTTGCGGATGTACAAAATTAGTCAGTGACTTTACATTTTTATATATATACACACACACACACACACATACATAAGAAAACATTCTGCAAGTGTGCAACTCTCATTGCAAAAATTCACACTGATTTGCGGATGTACAAAATTAGTCAGTGACTTTACATTTTTGATGCAGGTGTGTGAACGTGTTTTGCACCATATTCACTGCAGCAATTGTAGCAAAACATGTGAACGTACGAGTTTCTTGATTTGTGCACCTTGCAGTGAAGGATTCGAGAAGGTGTAACTATTGTGTTGTTTGTGGGAGAGAGAAAAATTCTACAAGTTTACAACTTTTGTCTGTGACTTCAAATTTACTTGTACACGTGTGGCTATTCTCTACAACTATAAATTCCGCTAGAAAAGCATCCAAAATTTATATATATATATATATATATAAGAAAACATTCTACAAGTGTGCAACTCTCTGCAAAAATTCACACTGATTTGCGGATGTACAAAATTCGTCCGTGACTTTACATTTTTGATGCAGGTGTGTGAATGTGTTTTGCACCCTATTCACTGCAGCAATTGTAGCAAAATATGTGAGCGTTCGAGTTTCTTGATTTGTGCACCTGCAGTGAAGGATTCGAGAAGGTGTAACTATTGTGTTGTGTTTGTGGGAGAGAAAAAAAAAATCTACAAGTTTGCAACTTTTGTCATTTCAAAGATATAGAATCAGAAAGTGAAAGAAGGTCCACTGTTCACAGAGCAAATCCGAATCAAAAAGAACATTTTGAGTCACCCACTTAGCTTTGGAGAGAAGATTACAATTAAAATCACAAAACTTTTTTCAGCCGAATCGCAGATGCAGGAGCTCGACGCAGCTTTATGATGTCACAAAATAAAAATAAAAGTCTTTCCACGCTAAAAAAAAAAATGCATCGCATTGATGGTGGGTTTAAAACGATGTATTTGAGTGTTTGAATGGGAGGCTTAAATTTAAATCGTTCAAATAATTTCTAAATGTGTCAAAAATATAAATAAGTGACTCATTAAGCTTGCAGGTTTTCACAAACTGGTACTTTATTTGAACTTTAATGGAAACCGATTTACAAACAATGTTTTAGTCCACATACGGAATAACTGATACTGAAAAGTAAAAACCATCTGTATTCTGTAAGGAGTGGATGGAAAGGAAAATATGGTCTGTTTTTGATCGTACTGATTTCAGTGGTCATGCTCTTTACAGATACAATTCTGCTACTTATTTATTTATTTGCAGCAGAAAGGAATCTTGTTCACTGATTAAAGATGTACTTGTTCAGTTTCATTCAATGTCAAAAATATGATTGTGTACTCAGTTTTACTCATTTACCATTATTAAGAGTGAATAGTTTCTCCATAAAAGATGCAATATTCAGTATACTTAAAACACAAACTCTAGAGAAGTATACATCTATCACAGGGTTTAAAAAAGTATCCATATTGTAACGTTCTGAGGACAAACTACTTACAATATCCAGGTTACAGCTGTTGGAAACTCTTGAAGCAAAGACCAGGAGACTCTTAACTGAGATGGTGCTGCGGTCATCAAGTGTGACTAAAGCAGTGAAACACTGTAACTTTATACACATTTTAGTGGGCCGTCCTTAAAGATGAAGATAAAGCAAACAAAGGATGTAAGCAGTTATAGGAACCATTCAGACTCTGAGTTTCAGCAGCTCTAAAACAATCAGCATAACTATAGCACTCATTATCAGAGACATCAGGAAAAGTCCAGATGCATTCACACTTAACTCAGGTGTTTATTAGCATGAATAATGACTATCAATTACAGTAATGGGGCAGAAGCATCAAGAGCATCAGACAGACAAAAGATTGATTTTATATTTGTATTCCCGCATACTTAAAGCAAAAGAGATTCATTTTAAAAATTAAATGACATTTATTCTCCTGCTGACTTTATAACTTTCACCAAAATAATTGTCTTCTGCAGTAATTGTGTTGAAAGGACAGATCAGATCATCTTTTAATGTGCAATTGTAAACAAATTTGTCAAGGAGCTTTTTGAGGTAGATAACAATTTTATTGATGTGCCTTAATTAGAAAATAAACATATTATTTGGAAATATTTTGGTGAATACAAATAGTGATTATACAGTAAACTGTATAGTAATTTGAGAAATCCATTATACATGAAGCAATATTTATCAAGATCACATTTACACATATTAATTTAGCAGACGCTTTTATCCAACAAGCGGTTCATCATAAAGAGTCGAGCCAAGCACTTTTCACAACATTAAATGAACTGGGGGGTAAATATTAGTTCTTTAAGATTTATGAAAATAAGTTATTGAGACTATTTGCAATTATCTCGTGTAAATGACTTGTTATTTTCACAGATTGCTGTATTTTCAGTCATGTACTGTAGAGACAGTCTACAGTATTTTGCAGTGTGCCTCTATGAGTTGTAGCCTTTCATTATCATATCCTTTACACTTTATTAGAACATTGTCAAATGTTTGAGGACAATCACATGACACATCCAGATTCATGTTTTACAATGATATGAAGTAACTGGTTAAGTGCAGCGTGTCCAATTCTAAAACGAGACATTATGCTGTCTTCCCATCTATTCTCCTTTCACTACAAACTAGTCTCTGGATATCATTATTATATTCAGCCTCTATCAAACACAAGATAACTATCACTTTATACCAGGGGTGGGCAAACTTGGCCCCTCCAGGCCACTTTCCTTCAGAGTTTAGCTCCAACCCTAATCAAACACACCTGAACCAGCTAATCATTGTCTTCAAGACTACTAGAAGGTTACAGGCAGGTGAGTTTTGTCAGGGTTGGATCAAATCTCTGCAGGAAAGTGGCCTGGAAGGCCCAAGTTTGCCCATCACTGCTTTATACAAACAACCTCCAAACTACAATATTCACAAAAGAATGCAAACTTAACCATGACTAACACAACATAATCACTTAAACAATGGTAGAGGCCAAATATAGTTTTGTGTTATGCACTCCTCACACTGTGTAGTTTTTGTGTAGGTACAAATGACATTCAGGAAGATGTGAGGTTTTGTTGTTAAGTAATTTTTTTTATTGCTTCACAAATGTATTGAACAAAGTCAAGTTTGTGTTATGCCCGGTTCAGACTACACGATTTTAGCCCGATTTTGCCATGATTTGCTTGACGTAGGGTGTCGTGGGGATTCGTAAACGACAATGGGCGTCGGGACGCAAGATTCCATCGTTTCAGCACGTGTAGTGTGTCATAGTGGACGACAACCGATTCCGCGTCTGCGATGCTTCACGACATCACGACAGAAAGACTAGCATGTTTAATTTTTTTTTTCCGTCGTCCACGACGAGTGACGTTGACCAATAGCAGCACAGAAGCTCTTTCATACACAGGTTTCAAACATGGCGAAACGAAAGAGAGATGATGGTGCTGCTAGGTGGAATTATGAGATGGAGGAAAGGTTCGTGGAGCTGTGGCAACTCCTGCCTGGATGATGTGTCATCGAGGGACTACCACGACAGAACAAAGAAAGAAAAATGCTGGCGAACTATAGCGGAAGCGCTTCAGCAATGTTTACACTCTTGTTTTCGGAAGTCAGTCGCTAGTTCCGCCTTCTCGATGACATCACGCACATCGTTAAAGACGGCACGCGATGAATGGTCGGGAAGCAACGTGTAGTCTGACAAGTTTCTTGTCCACGCCACGACAAGATTTTAGGAGTCAAAATCGTGTAATCTGACACAGTGACTATCGTGACCGACAAAAATATCGTGTAGTCTGAACCCGGCATTAAAAGGCTTTCATGTGAGATGTTTAAGTACGTCTTGCACATGATGAAAACTGGCAAAAATGTCTGAGGAAACGCTGAAAGTATGAAAACAGTTTGTGTTTTCCTTCTTGGTTCAGGTGAAGTCCGTCGTGTTTGTATGGTTTTTGGATTACTTTTCCGTTTTTGAGAAATGGTTTTGTAGTGTTCAGGAATAGAATGTTTCTTGTTTGTGAAGGCCCATATAGGACAATAGGTTAGGTTGTTAATAAAAAATATTTCAAGTTCAAAATTAACTTTGCATTGTTTTCACGTAGAGTCTGTAAAAAATAGCTGAATTGATATCAGTATTAATATATAGAGTTTAATGTATAATCACTATCTGTATTCTCCAAAATACTTCCAAATTATACGTTTATTTTTTTAACAAGGGCACTTCAATAAATTTGGTGATTCACTTCTTTGGTAAGTATAAATAAATTGACAAATTTATTTACAATTGCACATAAAATAGTGAAAATTAAATAGAAAATTTAAACAGCATTTATGCTTATAAGCCTACAAATTAATCTCTCTTGTTTTAGTTGTGTGTGAATACAAATGTAAAATCATGGTAAGTGAGTCTGTCTGTTGTCTTTATTGACTCTTGATGCTTCTGCCCCATTACTGTAATTGATAGTCATTATTCATGCTAATAAACACCTGAGTTAAGTGTGAATGCATCTGGACTTTTCCTGATGTCTCTGATAATGAGTGCTATAGTTATGCTGATTGTTTTAGAGCTGCTGAAACTCAGAGTCTGAATGGTTCCTATAACTGCTTACATCCTTTGTTTGCTTTATCTTCATCTTTAAGGACGGCCCACTAAAATGTGTATAAAGTTACAGTGTTTCACTGCTTTAGTCACACTTGATGACCGCAGCACCATCTCAGTTAAGAGTCTCCTGGTCTTTGCTTCAAGAGTTTCCAACAGCTGTAACCGGATATTGTAAGTATATGGTTTGTTGTTTTGTTTGTTTTCCAACAGTGAATGTTTTCATGAAATTTAATCTATGAAATGTATTACATCTAAACAATAACTAGATAATTGTAGAATTGTCATTATTTTATTATTTATAGTGTTTTGGGATTATTAGGGTCATTTAAGGCCATTGACTATCACTCTAAATTTGAATTTCTTTCTTTCTGTTAATTATTCTCATATTGAACTGGACAACATATCCAAACAGAAAAACCTCTGGTGAAGCTGAGATCCACGTGACACTATTATAAAGATGGCATTTATTAAAGAGGAGAGTGAAGACGTGAAGATTGAAGAAGCATTCAGAGTGAAACAAGAAGATCTTGGGGAACAAACAGATGGTTAGTGCACATTGACGCTATAATAACAATACTGAATACAATTCAGAGCATCAGAAACCATTTGCAAACAAAAAAAATCATTATACTAACATATTAACATGCCTTCTCCATGTCTCTTTAGATAAAAGCTCAATAAGAACTACAATCAGCAAAAGAACATTCATTATACCAAAAGGTAAGCAACTAATACACACATTATCAATAAACACTATATACTCATAATTCATTCTGAACACAGTAAAAACTAGTATTTGTGGTCTTCTCCAGGTCTTCAGGTCTGCTTCCTCACAGACTCGGCGTGTTGGGATATCGAGCACTACTTTCCAAACGCACAATGCTGGGTTCATCCAGACACGACTCTTGTGAGATCCGTTCAACAACACGTGAAACACTTTGAGAAACTGCACGACTACAGAATAGTGATTCTCCACATGGGAACAAACGACATCACAAGCGGAGCGTCTGCATCGACTGTCGTCCAGAGAATGAAAACTCTCATATCAAGAATCTCACAAGTTAATTCACACATCCTGTATTTCGCAATCAGCGCTATTTTACCACAAGTGAAAGACGACTCTACAGTCAAAACTACAATCAAACAATGCAACAGCTTGCTTCAACACTGGTCTTCACAAACAAGAAACATTCTATTTCTGAACACTATAAAATCATTTCTCAAAAACAGAAAAGTAATCCAAAACCTATACAAACACGACGGACTTCACCTGAACCAAGAAGGAAAACACAAACTGTTTTCATACTTTCAACGTTTCCTCTGGCATTTTTGCCAGTTTTCATCACATACAAGACGTACTTAAACATCTCACATGAAAGTCTTTTAACACAAACTTGAGTTTGTTTAATACATCTGTGAAGCAATAAAGTATAATTTCACTTAACAACAAAAGCTCATACTTTTTTCTGGTCTTGTTTTTGTGGCAAACGGCTTAGCAACATTCTTAAATTGTGAAAAGTCTGTGATTTAATAGGGCTGTGTATCACCAATAATCTGGTGATATGATACGTACTGTATGGCAATAAAGATGTTAGGAGACATATATTGCAATACTGTAAGATGACATTGTATTTGACTTTTAAAGATCAAAACAAGAAGATATAAACTATGCAGAAAAAAATTGAAAGGAAAAAGATAAATTTAGTGCAGCTATAGATGAGTACAACATGGCAGCACCTGAAAAACTGCAGTCAGCTGAAACAATTCTGGTATCTGAGAGTTATGCATGGCCACGAATACTGTGTGAGCTCGAATATCTTGTGACTCATTTAAATTTAGTTCAATTCAAGTCAAAGTTCAATTTAGTTTGACAAACTATACAATATTTATGAAAAATGTTTAAAAAGAACCAATGCTGACTAAAGTGCTGTCCAATAAAAAAAATGGACTAGGAAATATTCAGAAATAAAACTACCAGTAATAAAGAACAAACAACAATAGTACAGTAATCAAACCAATGGTCAATGAGTATTAACAGCAAGAGAGAATAAGTATGCAGACTTAAAAATGAAAATAGAGGGACTGTCACGATACTGCTACTGTGGAGGAGACGAAGGAGCGCGGAGACAAAGGAGATTCAAAATTCATCACAGTCTTTATTAAATCCAAATAAAGACACACATGGAATGGGCAGGAACACACACACACACACACACACACACACACAGCATTGGGGTTAGACGTATAATACCGGACGCAGGACATGGGAAAACACAGGGCTAATATACTCTGAACTAAATGGGGAACACCTGGAATCAATGAACATAATTACCATGGGAGAAACTGGGTAATGGAAAGCACATGGGGGAGGAAAACACAACACACAGAACACAGGACTGACATAACTCCCAGGACTGACATAACTCCCCCCTCCCGGAAGCCGTGTCTACGCACCACACAACATCCAATGGGGAGGGGGGGACCCATGGCGGATCAGGCAGTTCAGGGGGCCATGGCGAAGCAGGGAACTCGGGGCCATGGCGGAGCAGGCAGCTCGGGGAGCCATGGCGGGGCAGACAGTTCAGGGGGCCATGGCGGAGCAGACAGTTCAGGGGGCCATGGCAGAGCGGCCTCCATGGCCTTGGCACTCGGCCCGGCCTCTAT